AGTCCCCTCTGTGATTGGCTGTGATCCTGGGTATTTCCCATGGTTCCCCAGCATTCTGATGCCTTTTCCTGGCTCCACCCACAGCCCACTCTTCACCCATGCCAGTCACACAGACACAGGAGAACTGGAGAGAATGAACCTGTGCTGTAGTTTTCTTAAGAGCCTCCTCATGCATTTGTACCAGAAATGAATGAATAATTCACTGTGAATAATTTATTCAACAATGATAGGCTATTTTTCTGGTCATGAAACAACCAAAAGAAGATTGAAACCTCTTCACATGTTTTGCTTCTTGAAATTACTGAGATTATTTTGTGAGGTTCTTTTTGGTTATTTGTTTTCTTTATGGATGCCTGAATCACTACCAATTCACTGTGAATATGACACTCAGGAGTTGAAAGCAGAGCTGTGCTGATTAGCTGTGATTGGTCACATACATTGTTATTGTTATTATTAGGAATGCTGAAAATATTCAAACATGTTGTAAGTAGTCCATTTATATATTTGGATCTTTGGCCAATTCATCTTTGTAAGGGTTAAAACAAACTTAAATCATGTGGTCAACTGGACCAATTAAAACCATAACCAGTTATTTTGTTTTGTAATGTGTAATACACATTAATGACTTGTAAAACAAGTCAGCAAACTGCACTTTAAAAGACTGCAAAAATCAAGCAGGACAGTGCTGCAAGGCTCAGATCAAACCAAAAATGAATAATCTTTTTTACATTTTTGAAGATACAAGTATGAAAGGCAATTCCTAATACAGTATGCTAGTCACTTATTCATATCATATTCACACACTACATAATGCATGAAATTTGTAGTGTCTTATCTCAGACTCTCGTAGCACATCAGCTTCATATTGCATTAGAAATTTTTCAGTCATGTTTATAACTGTACTATAAAATGTAGTAGGAATATAAGCTTTCATTTTTTTCCCTTTCACATGAATGAGTGTAAGAATGAATCTGAAAGACTGAAAAAATTGAATTCCATGCCTTTGGAAAGAAGGATTTGGAAAAAAAGAATTTACCATTGATCTAAATTCTTGGGTCATCACAGGATTCTCAAATCACATAGCCAGACACAGTTGACTAGAAGGTGGCTCTTATTTTCCAGCCCCTGCACGAGCCCACTGGTACACATACTCAAAGGGTAAGCAATTCTATTCATACCTACTGCAGTATTGGCCCCCATTAAGGCTATGTCTATGCTACGAACAAAAGGTGGGATTCCTCTGTTCGTGTACACTTTTGTACGAGCTCTCATTCAGCTAGCACAAATATAAAGAGCAGTGGAGCCTCAGGAGCATGGGTAGCCACAGCAGAGGCTCAGCTTAGCCATGCAGAGTGCACACCCACTGGTTTCAGGTGGGTTTATATGTGGCAGAGCTAAGCGGTGCCTCTGGTGCAGCTCCCCAAGATACCGCGGCTACCCTATTTTATACTCATGCTAGCGCACCTATCTGTACACGAGCCAGGGAAATGACACCTTTACCTCGCAATGTAGATGTGACCTAAAATCATATCCATCCAAACCACCGCCTTCTGACTTTGTAGAATTTACAACAAAATTAGTCTTGCCGGATGTATACAGTTACAATATACATATATACACGCACACCTGATCTATATGATATGCGTTGGACTTGTGTAATAAATTCCAAAAAAGCAAAAACTTGCTACTTTGTTCCTCTCATCAAGGATTCGAGACCATGGTAACCAAGAACAAAGATCTATGGGCATTCTTTTTGGAGAGTTGCAACAAAGGTTTTGTTCGAAAAGTGAATAAAAACAATGTTATTAAACTGAATGCCCTGACATTTTCAGAATCTCACTGTTATTTTTCTTCAAGATACTAAAAAAAATCATGAAAGCAAAATTCAAGTTAATCTTTCAAATAAGAAGTCATATTAGTTCAAATTTAAACTGCCTGCTACTCCTTTGAGGCTAGATTCTCTTATGATTCTGTTAGTCCCATTAAAACAAATATATCATCCCACTGAAACTAACGGAACTGCTCATAATGTACTACACAATGGGTGAAATCCTGGTCTCATTAAAATCAACGATAAAACTCCCTTTGATGTCAATGGGGCCAGTTTTTTCACTCAATGATGTTTAATGGTGGGAGAATCTCGCTTCTACTAAGACCTCTGGACAAAAGACACATAAAGACATTATAAGGGCTTTAATAGGGCTTATGCTGCAAAGAGATAGTTTAAACCATCTTTTGGGATAGATGCTGTATATTTGTAAGCTGTGCACAACTCCCAAAGGCAATCTTCGAGTGGATAAGGAAATAAATTGGAGGGAAAAATCTATAAAACACAAAAGGTACTAAGGAAAAAAAGACAGGCAATTGTAGAATTAACTCTATTTTCTACTCTACATTTCATATGTAAGTGGTAGCAAATTAATGTAGATCATGTTTGCAAAGCTAAAGCAACAATACTGAAAATAACAATTCCCATTTTATACCCATGCCTACATGCTTCAGGCAGAGCCTCAAACCAAAGGGAAAATATAGTGCATATTCCTTAAGAAGTCTGTCAGTGGTGCCAAATTATGAGCCAAATCACAGTATAATAATCCCACTGAAGTCAAGGGGCCAGATCCTCTGCGGGGTAAGTCATTTCAGCTCTGTGAAGGCAAGCAGGTTGGACTATGTGACACCCTTTTTACTATTACACACAGATTAAGCAGCATGATTTACTTAGAGAACCAGGCTAAATAGGAGTCTAGTAGTTGAAAGCCCCAGCTCCGGCTGAGGAGAAATATGTACCCATTGTTACATTTCTGTAAATAAAGAAACCTGGTTAATAAATCCATGAGAAGAAGCAAAGGAAGGAGAGGATTCCTCTTCCTAATAGTGCACCATCTGACATCCAGTTTAAAACTTGTGTTGCTAATGAGTCAGAACACCAAGTCTCTTCTGAAGAAAAGAGAAAGACTCATCAACTGGAAACACTAAGGTACCATTTTTCACAGAATTCCACAAAATATACGCAGTCACCTTTCAAATAAAATTTTACATTATTTTATTCCAACTGCCTGAAGATGTCATTTTCCATTAATTCATTTGGAACCACTCACTTAATCAGTGAAGCAGAAGTGTCAGATTTCCATTTGACTCATTCAGCTTCCAGTATGAACATAGTTATCCATGTCTTAATGTTTCTTCAACCAATCTGCCCCCCTTCCCCAGTAGGCACAAACTGGCAGCTAAATCCTTCAGTTCAGTCCTTCAACCTTACTCGAGAGCCTGGACTGAGACATGCTCAAGGACTGCAGGATCGGGATTGCTAAGTACTATCAACTAGGTATATTTAATTGATGATTTATGCAAAAGAAAAAAAAACATTTTAAAATAGTGCTTTATGGATAATACTAGTTTGTAGGTTTAGATGAAATTAAATATAGAGACAATCAAATTGTTATGTATCCTTTAGAGAAATCACTCAGTAAAGATACTTGTTGGGACTGAGGTTGCCATTGTTTCCATCTGGAAACCAAGGAGGCCAGATGACAGTCAAGGGATTCCAAAGAACAAAATACAGTTTCTCTACATTCTAAGCTTATTTGCCATCCATTAATCCAACATTGGAAGGTTTGTGTCAGGCACAAAACCTTTAGGTCAGTAAATCAATATTGATATTTAGCAGGGCAACATCAATATATCTGTCAGTAAACCAATAAACTCTGGGAAATTAACTTTGAATCTTAACTCAATTTGTTCTGACTAAAAAGACTCAAGTTTGAATTTGAACTCCTAGTTAAAGACAGATGTTGTAACATTAGAACTGGAGTTCTCACTTAAGAAAAATAATTCTTTCACCTTTATTGGTTTTTCTTTCTTTATTCTTATGTTTCCCAACCACACCACTGTATTTACCCCTAAAAGTCTTACTTTTGTAGTAGCTTACTTCTCACTGGGACTCTTCAGAACACAAAAAACTTTTACTTTGTTAACAACATATTACAAGAGTTGTGTGTATAAATTTAATGTATTAAATTGCTAAGCACAAACCATAAATAGCAGGAAGTAATGAGTTCAGTAATTCAATACCTCTTCTAGACTTCACTTCCTCTTCTCAACCTCAATTACCATTCTTCCACCACCCTCAGAGGTCATGTAACCCCACTCTCATCTTGCACAACCAGCTTGAGCTTGGACCATACTTGGACCAATACTCTTGAGCTTGGACCATATTTACTGGTTATTGGCCAGATCCTAAACTGGTGTAAATCAGAGTTGCTCCATAGAAGACCATGTAGCTACTCCAATTTATGCCAACCAAGGATCTGGTTCTATATGGCAAAGTATTAAAGTTTACATGGATTGCATAAATTATATTATATGTGTGTTTTTATTGGTTTCTCTAAGTGTCAGATTGCATGTGATTGCTATATTATGTTTTCTGTAATATTAAGGAAAATGTATGTGAATGAATGGTCTGTTAGTGAATGTTCTATGTTTAGTAGTAATTTTTATGTAGAACTGAAATTTTAATGTGTTGCATTTATGCTCAGAGTTAAGCTACACACTGTTTCATAGCTCAGATATACCCATGCTCATGCTGAAGAACCAGAGGGGTCTGGGTCCTGCTTTAAATGCAAATCTCAATGCAGCTTTAACACTATCATTGCTAGCAAAGCCTCCATAAAAACAAGGTTTACAAATGCCCATAGGATGAGTACTTCAGCATAAATTGGATGGCTAAGAGAATGACAAACAAGACTTTTAAAGATTACAATTACTTTTTAAAATTTAATCTCCTTGCAATTTAAAAATGCAAAGCTGTATGGAATATAAACTGAATATATGGAATATAGTCTAGCATTTCTTACAAGATCAGGGCTTTCTTTTTTCACCTGACTGGATCAAAGAAGCTGAGGTGCATCCAAGTGTATATAATATACAGTGTACATAAAATATAAACAGCACATTTTGGTCATAAATATATGAGATGTTAAACAGAATTTGAGTGGCCTTACCTGCAAAGGTTTTGTAATCCACCAGGTCAAACATGATAATAGCTACTGCTGACCAGGTAACAATCAGAGCAACAACAAGAAGCCATGCTGCTGGCGAGCTGAATGTGGTCATTAGGTCCTCTGTAACTGACTTCTTTCCCACTTTCACTGGTGGCGTAAGAACTGACCCATTCTTGTTGTCCATCACTGTAGTGGTGGTTGACATATGTCCTAGTCAAACATTAAAAAAAAAAGAGAGCAAATAAATATATTAAGCTAGGTACCTATCAGTCTAAGCTAAAGAACATGTATGTAGCTTCTGGTCTGTTACAGTTGTTATTAGCTGTCAAGTTTTCTAACAACTTAGGCCTTCATTCAGGAATGCACCTCTATTCAGAACAGTAGTTAAACATGTACTTTACTTTGCTTACATGCTAACCTGAACAGGGACAGAGTTAAATACATTGAATCCTAAAACGGGGCTTGTTTACACAAACATTTTTAGTTCATAACAAGATGGGTGGGGGGGTGAGTCCAACCTGCACTAGCCTTCCAGACTGTGTGCGTGCATCCTGGTGAGCTAATCCTCTTTGAAACAGGACAACATCAAAGCACATGAACTGTTAATGCACATTAGCAGGGCCCACAGGGACAGCTGGTCCATGGCAGGATAGTGCAGAATAGATTCACACCCAAGCATGCCTCAGACTGTTTAGAAAAGCCCTTATATTGCTTTCCTGAACTAGGCCCATAATTAATCATTTAAACATATTCTTAAATCCATACTTATTCAGTACAACACTTAAGCAAGTGGTTAACACTGACTTCCATGGGACTTACGTCTGTTCTTTCATTTAAGCACTTGCTTTTAACTGAATAAAAATGCCTTCCTGAACTGAGGACACAATCAAAATAAGTTAGGAGAAAACATATAATAACCAAAGAAAAAAAAACAATATATAGCTTCATTGCTCACCACAAGCCACTTTGCTGTGACTAGCTACACACCTAAAACAGTGGCTGATATCATAGCCCTCTAAAAGACTGACTTGTTATGGACTGTGATGAGGCATCTGCCCCACACTGGTGGAGAAAAGCAGCCCTGGGGAGGCTGCACAGCAGACAGCCAATCAGAGAGGGGCTGCAATGAGAAGCCAATCAGGTCAGAGCAGACCCATATATAAAGAGAGCTGGAGGGCAGAGGAGGTAGTTCCTGCTTTGGAGCCTAGGGAGAAAGGACTGGGTGCCTGAAGGGCTGAGGGAACCACCAGCACTCTGGATGGAGCAGTGCTGGGCTTGGTCTGGGGAGTGAGAGAGAGCTCCAGCTTGACTGGCCGAAAGACTGAAGCCCTGATACAGGAGCAGAGAAGGTGCTAGGGCTACGGGGAAGTGGCCCAGGGAAACAGACGGCAGGGGTTGAAGGAGACGCAGCACGTGGCTACCGCCTACAGGGTCTCTGTGTCAGGACCTGGAATAGTAGGCGGGCCTGGGTTTCCACCATGCCTCACCCCCACTTGCCACTGTGGGGAGTGGCCAGTGAAGGGCTGCAGTTTGCCACTGAGGGGAGTGGCTGGACAGAGGACTGCTGTTCCCCCGGAAATGGGGGAGAATGGAATGAAATGGCTGGAGGGCTGTGTCCTGAAGAGGATGCCATGATCTTTGAGGCAACGTGGGTCTGGAACAGAAGTGACAGTGGTGAGACACCACTGGAGGAGGGCGCCCTGTGAAAAGACTGAAATAATTCCCAAGCAGGAGGCACTACGGTGGTGAGTCCCCGCCCTGTTACATGGACACTGTGCCAGATCCACAGTAAAACAGCCTACATCCATGGAGCTTTGTCAGTTTACACCAGCTGAGTATCAGCTTTGAATTCTGCTGTCAAGGACACATGACAATGAGTGTGTTTTATACTATATTCCATCTCGCCAGTCAATAGCAGAAGAAATGTTCTATAGCTGTGCCATGTCTTTTCTAGACAGTGTCATTACAATTTGTGAAGAATCATATTTTTGTAAATAAATTTGTTTTGAGCATTTTCACTTTCATGAGATGGCCTTCTAAAAGCCCGTCTTTTCTCCCAAGAGTTGCAGTGTCAAATGGGCTTAACACTGAAAGCTAAAGGCTCTTTAGTAGGAAACGGAGAGCAAGATGAACACCTATGTCAATTCTCATTCAGCAGATACCACCTGTTTACTGGTGAATAGCTGCATTTTTAAATACAAACTACTTAACTAACTTCTCTGTGGCTGTTAAGAACATCTTACACTGCACACAGCTCAAAACAGCTTTTAGAAGCTTAAGGTTTCATTATATTATGTTTCAAATTGCTGAAATTTAAAACCTGAAAATATCTGAGAAATTCTTGAACTCAAACAAATAATAAACGAAATAATCATTGCTTTTGTTTGATATCCAGATATGAAGCTGCAAAATCAAATCATTCACTCCTCCCTAGTCATCAAGAGTGAAATGGCACTGTTACATGCTGAGCTCCCTCTTTTGGGAGACACCAGGCTACAGTATGGGAACTAACCCTTGCATCCCACATGCTTTTAAGCCTACGGGGTCAGCGTTTGTATGCAGACACTGTTTCGAAGTCCAGCCTTTTTGACACACTCATGAGGTACTGTTCTCCCGTCTAGCACCACTTTCTTGGGAAGTGGGACCCTATGGTCTCTCCTATACTGAAGTCCACCAGAGCTCTACCCTTGTGGGGACTTTGGTTTATTATTTAACCACTCAAGAAACTCATGACAGTTAAATCAGTGGAACACACAGACTTTGCCAAGGAACCTCTACACCAGACAACTTTACTCAGACCAAGCACAAGAGTTACAGACCTACGCAAAAATAACAAACAGCTGCATGGAAAACCCCTCCCTTCAGTGTCTTCAATGCTCCAAGATCCTTTTGCATTTTGGTTAGTGACCTTTCAGGGCCCCAAGACCCCACCTGCACCCCAGTCTTCCTATTGTAAGCTGATGGATGGCTGGTGAAAGGGTCCTGGCTCAAGAAGATCCGGGACTTAAATAGAGTTCTGGCCTCCTATGTCAGGTGCCCCCTGCCAGTGCAGCTTCACTCCCACCACACACATCAGATCAGTTGCTCGACTCCTGCTTTCCCACCCAGCCTTGTTCCCAACTGGGAAAACTAGTTTTCCTGGACTACAGCCAGTCTGTTGTTCTAGGGTGTATTCATTTGAATGATGGACCATCAAGGCTGAGGCATGTTGATGGTTTTGCCATTGTTAGCTCCTCTACTAGGTGTCAGGATTTCATCTAATACCTCCCAGGTGTCCAGCTCAAGATGGAGGCTACAGTGAAAAAGTGAAGGGCACAAGACAGTTCGGAACAGTGTTTCAGATTGATATAGACATACACAGACATATACTAATCTGTACCTGTGACATCATCTTTGGGGTAACTTCTCTAGCAGCTAAACTAATGCACTATTTATAGTGGTCACCAAAAAAAGGAATCCAAACAGATGTTACATATTTGCATAGTTTGGTTAAATTCATCCTGATCCAATTCTTATTAAAGGCTCCTCATTGAGTTCGGGGGGCATTAGATCAGGCCCTGTATGATTCTGAATTTCCAAAGAATCCCTTTTATTGCTAAAAGAATTAAAGAACAATGCAAATATGAGAGTGAACTTGTACTCAGTCCCTATTTATCACCAAAGCAAGAGCAAAGTGAGTTTTATATCAGAGTAAAGTAGTGCTGCCTCTGTCTGGGTCTTCTCACGCTAATGCTATCAAATTGCTGCCTTTCTGGTTGGGTCACTGAACATTCAGGTAAGAGAGAAAGGGGCATGTGATGAAGCTCTAACTAAACAAAGATAAGCAAACTCAGTCTGTTTCTGACGAATACTGATCTGGAATCTCTACCCTTAGAGACAGGTTACAAGAATCTTGAAGAGAGAGTTTAAGAACCCCAGACGTTGTGCACACTGTGAGTAGCTTTTATTTCACAGTCTAACTTGAGATACCTACAGAAATGATAAATACATAGGTTGTGGTGAATGAGATCTTTTGTTTTGTCCATCAATTTATATTTTTTTAAAATTAGAAAAACGAGATGGAGCACAAACTCTCACAAGCCTGAGACTGATGAAAAAACTCTTTTGTTCCCTGTACAATGGAAAATCAGTCCAAGCGTGATGTGATAATGAAATCATCATTACATGTCTTGCAATGATTTGTAATGTGAGCAAGGTCAGTGTCAGCTTCAGCAGTGATATGATTTACACTCAAACACCATACATTAGAACAGAAACTAAAATAATTCACACCCTTGACTGTTCTACACTTTTTATTCATTGTGATTGTATATAATTTTCCTTATTTTTGTCCCCTTTTTAGATTGCATTCACTCCAAACTTCCCTATACTGATCAAGTGTCTCATTTCAAGCCCTAGAAACCTGCATTGTTACATAGTAATGTTGTATAAGCAGCACAAAATTGGCATGTTACATGATTTTTGTAACTTACATGAAATTTGCTTTAATTTATGGATAATGTGTTCAGTTAATGAACAGTGTCATCTGTTAAGATGCAAGTTATACACTTTTCTATTTTAAAAACATCACTGCTTCCATTTCCCTGAACATAAATATTGGATCAAACATCACACTGCAGGAGAGAAAAATCAAGTTGCAAAGATCAGCTTCCTAAAATCAAATTCCAAATCAATAGCATTATGTTATGTAACATTCAAATTCATTCATACAAAAATAAACGAACGTGTGCATGCAACAGGTCATAAATGACACATTATGCATTTTCTTTCCTCTGGAGAGACCAGTAGGAGTTTATGATGTAAGGGGGAGAACAGAAAGGTACTATCTTATCTTGACAAGTCTGATTGGCATCATAACATAACTCAAATGACATACTAATGAAAGACATTTGCACAGTAAAAGCAAAGGCAATTAAAACTACATTGTAATGGGGTGGTCACCCGATACTAGCACTGAAAAGGTTAAGGAAGCTGAGAAAGAACGAGTTAGGCAACACGTGAGGCGACTAGTCTGGAGAAGCAACCCCTGGTGAAGCTGAAGATGAAGCTCCGCTGAGCAGGTGTGGGCTGGACTAGTATAAAGCCAGGAAGCTGGCAACAGAAAGTGTGGCAGTGAGGAAGTCTGCAGTCATCCTCTGTGCATTGGAGAGGGAATGAGAGAATCCAGAGAAAGAGTAGAACCCTGGGACCCTGGCCCTGAGGGAAGGGTG